GAGGTGTGGGAGCAACACCGAGGGTTGCGATCCCGTTGCCGGTCCCGGTCCGGTACCGGCACGACACTGAGGGTTGTGATCCGTTGCCGGACACGAAAAAAGACAAAAAAGGAAAAAAAAAAAAAAGAAAAAAAACATTTTTTTTCAAATTAACCTTTTTTTTGTTTTTGTTTTTGGAGGCTGGCCAGTACAGGGACACATCTGCCTTAATGCTACTGAAAACTGTTTCCCAAAATATTTTATATGTCATACCTAATATACATGTATTTTATGCTGATTTAAAATACTTTTTCTAAAACCAGATAAACCTGCACTATCCTTTATTAATCCAGAAGTGCCTGATGAAAAGAATTTTGATAAATTGATGAAAACATCTGATGGTTTTACATTGAATGCAGAATCAGATGCTTCTTTCACAACCAAATTGGATGCTCCAAATTCTGCTAAATATGAGGTGAGCTGAGAGCTTGATTGGGTCTACCCATGCTGTCACAGACATCCTGTCCTCATAAGTTAATTTTCAGTAGTTACCAGCAAAACTGGCTTCTCTGAGACATAGTCTTGATATTGTAGACTGAAAAACTTAATGTTTGTGCCTACAAATCAAAGATCATGAAAATTTAAATTGAGTATTTGAATTCTGAATATAGGATTTAAGGTAATTTATTCTGTGGTAAGCTTGCATTTTTATATCTGCAGAATTTTTTGTACTTTTCAACCTTAAAAGATATAGCAAAATGCTTGAGGCACGCTGCTGGGAACATGGAATGGATTGGTTGGATTCCTGGTCCTCTTCTCAAAATTGTATTTAGTTTTGCGGACTTTGGGAAGATGTGTGCTATTTTTTTTTTTTTTAAAGATGACCGGTAAGGGGATCTTAACCCTTGACTTGGTGTTGTCAGCACCATGCTCACCCAGTGAGAAAACTGGTCATCCCTATATGGGATCCGAACCCGTGGCCTTTGTGTTATCAGCACCGCACTCTCCTGAGTGAGCCACAGGCCGGCCCAGAAAATTCCTTTTTCAGTGATAAATCTTGTTCCTCTTCCCATGTCGATGTAAAAGTTATAATTTCTTGAGCATTTTTCATGTGCCAGGCACTGTGTAGAGTTTTCCAGGCATTACCTAACACAACTCTGGGAGGGACACATCATTGTCCCCATTTACCTGATGAGAAAAACCTAGGCACAGTTATAACTCATCATAACTAGTGTTAGAGCTACATTTTATAAAGTGTCCCTTTCTGTTTATGTACCTGAGCCATTCCACTCTTTACAGACTTTTTTCCCCAGTTCTTGCTATTATAAATAATACACAACAAACTTTTTTTTTTTTTTAAAAAGATGACTGGTAAGGGGATCTTAACCCTTGGCTTGGTGTTGTCAGCACCACGCTCAGCCAGTGAGCTAACCGGACATCCCTATATGGGATCCGAGCCCGGGGCCCTGGTGCTATCAGCACCACACTCTTCCGAGTGAGCCACGGGCCAGCCCACAAACATTTTTTAATATATATTTTTGTATACTTGTGTGATTAAATGCTTAGGATACATTCGTATAAATGGGTTAGCTTGGTCACAGTGAACGGAAATTTTAAATATTGATACCAGATTGACATTCAGAAAGATTGTAGGAGGTTATACTCCCAGCTCCAGTGAACGAGAGGACTTGTTTTCCCATACCCTTGCTGGCACCAAAAGGTTTGGATAAACTTTCAAATTCAAGAAAATTAACTGTATGCCCCATAGCTGTAAATCTGGGTTTTGAATATTGGGGAAGAATTTTAGATGATATGGTTTTGGGAAAGAAGGCATTCTTTCATAAAGTTGACTTATAAAATATTAACTAATAAAAATTGATTTCTATAATTTTAATGTATACTGTATCTGTTATTTAAATTTTTATTTTTGGGGTGGCCAGTAAGGGGATCCAAACCTTTGCCCTTGTTGTTATAACACCACGCTCTAACCAACTGAGCTAACCAGCCAGCCCTGTTATTTAAATAATAATGTTAGTGAAAAATAATTACTTTTCTCACCCAGTTCCTGTCTGCAGAGGCAAACGCTTATGTCAGCTTCTTGAATACCTTTCAGAGGAATTCCATAATTAAAAAGCCTATAAATTCAGTAACATGCACATACAGAAACCCACATCCTTTAAAAAAGGGTGAGACAGCTAGATGCAAGTTTCACATGGGTGAGGACCATATCTGGTTTTAGCCCATCACTGTGTCCCTAACACTTGCAGTGCTGCCTGGCATACAGTAGGTGCCCAATAAGTGTTGAATGAATGCTTTAATTACAACATAGTGACTATTGGTTGTTGTGTTTGCAGTATGGGTCTCAGCTGCAGACTTCAGATTCATTTCTGAGATTTCCTTCACCTCTAACGTCATCTCTGTGCACTGATAATAACCCTGCAGGTAAGAGAGTGGCCATTCTTCTTTCTTTTTGTAAATAGTTTGTCATTAACAGTTTACATTTGTAGTAGCCATAATTAAACAGTCTTCCTAACTAGAAACAGAATCTTCAGACTGAAAGAGGCTTCAAAGGTTATATAGTTTTATTTTCTACTCATGGAATCTTTTCTACCACATGCAGTCACTGCTTTGAGCACTTGTAGTGATGGGGAACTCACTCCTGAAAACAAGACCACTCAGTTGTTTAGAACTCTCCAACAACTGGGAGTGTTAAAGCTTGTCAGTAGCTGATATTTATTAAGGACTTACTGTGTGTTGGGTATTGTGTTAAGTGCTTGCGTGTGTTTTTCCATTATATCCTCACAGTGCTCCCTTGAGGTCAGGTTAGTATCTTCATTTTTAGATAAGGAAACTGAGAGACGTGCAGTTTCCTGCTTAGGCTCACTCAGGCGGTGGTGGAGCAGGGATGGAACCCATGCAGTCAGCTTGCAGCCCGAGCACCACTGTGCTCCCTTGCCTCCCACGGGTCCTGCTTCTTTCAGGAACATGATGGAATCCAGGGAATAGCCCCTAGGCAGTGGAAGGCAGCAGGCATGGCTCTCCGATCCTTAAGTGAGCCTTACTATGAAGTAGCGATCTAAGTGATGAGTCATAGGAAAATACATTTTGTTGAAAAGATGCTTAACCTTGCACACACTAGGAACAATGTAAAACCAAACTGAGATACCATTTTCACTTATCAGATTGGCAAAGCTCAAAAAATTTGAGGCTGGGGGAAATAGGCACTCACCTACATAGCTAGTGGAACTCTAAGTTTGGCACAAACTCTGTGAAGGGCAGTTTAGCAATATGTGTCAAAATCACAAGTGAATGTGCCTTTCAGCCCAGCTGTTAAACCTTCTAGGAGCTGATCCTGTGAAACTCTGGTCTGCATGCAAAATAATAGACTGCAGCATTGTTTGTGGTAGCAAAGATAAAGACGACTTGTGTCCATTAGTTGGGAACTGGTAGAATAATTGTGGCACATCTATGATAGAATACTGATTATATCCTCCCCCCCCAAAAAAGGAATCTCTTTGTGTACTAGACAGACTGATCTTTAAGACGTATTGTTCAATGAAAAGAATGAGGGGCAGAATAGTATATATATCGTGCATTTGTTTCCAAAAGGGGAAAGAAATAAAATATATTTATATATAATATATATATATTTTTAACGTATGTATTTGCTTTTATTTTCATAGAATATTTCCAGAAAGATAGACAGGAAACTTCATGCTGGTTGCCTCTGGGGAAGGGGCCTAGTAGTGGGGTGGGGGGTGGGGAGGGCAGGAAAGGAGTTAGAGGGAGACTGCTCAATATCTTTTTGTGCCTTTCGAATTTTGAATCTTGTGAATGTGTTACCTTTTGGAAAATAATTTCTAAGCCCTATTTTAAATATATTTCATATCTGCGTTGTAATTTATTTTGCAGTTTTACCTAGATTACATTTTTTAAGTTACCATTGGACAGTTGAAAAATTTCTTCTGTCTTGTATTTCTTTTTTCTTGGGAATGTTATGATTTCCAGCGTTTCTGGTGAACCAGGCTGTTAAGTGCAGCAGAAGGATAAATTTAGAACAGTGTGAAGAAATTGAAGCCCTTCACATGGCTTATTACAGCAGCCCTAAAATTTTGAAGGTAAGAATTATTTTGAAGTGGAACTGATTCATTAGGTATGTTTCTGTTGTTTGTACTCTTTAAAATGACAGTATAGAATAATTTCATACATGATTGACACTCAAGTTTAAATTTCTGTACTTTGGTATCAGTGATTATTGAAATAATTCTTTAAATAATTTTTATCTTTATGTAGTTAGTTCATATTTTATGTTCATTTATTTTTTTCATTCTTTTATTAGTTTTCTTTTCTGGTGGCTGGCCAGCATGGGGATCCAAACCCTTGACCTTGGTGGTATAACATTGCTCTAACCAACTGAGCTAACCGACTAACCCCTCTTTTATTCATTTTGATGGTAACTGATAATGTCTGTCTCCTGAATTTAAAAAAAAAAAAAGAAAAACTTTACTAATAACTAAACACTTTCTTTTATTTTTCTTGGTGGCGTTACAACACCGTGCTCTAACTGACTGAGCTAACTGGCCGGCCCTCTAAACACTTTAGAAATCATAAAACCATCTTAATGTCTGTGACAGAAATAATTATATTAGCACCAAAAAGAGCTCTTTGTCGGAAACCAGAAAAGAAGAGAAAATCCACTCTCTGGTTGGCAGATGAAATGCGCAGCCAGACAGGAAAGGAAACAGGATTGTTGGAGAAGAGAGAAGTGGGGCCCTTCTCTCTGGGTGCAGTGACTGAAGCCTGGACTGCATAAGTGAGAGAGGCCACTTGGTGGATGAGATGGAGGGTTGCAAGGGGGGAAGACTTTTTTCAGTGATTAAAAACCATATATGATTATTGTCAATTCCCCTCTGCTTCCTGATTTTCTTTTTTGGGGGGTGGGGGAGGGTAAAGGTAGGGTGGTCCATGGCACCATTATTCATCTGGGCCTCAGTTTTCAGGATCAGGTTTAATGTTTTCCTCTCCCCACCCTTTCCCTCTCCCTTTCTTCTTGTAAGTTGGCCATCTAGGCCTATGAACCCTTCCAGTTAGCTTGACTTTCATAGTTGACCTGAAGTAGGCCCTCGGGCATGCAGGTATGGTTCTCTTTCAGCACAGGCCTCCCCAAACACATTAGAAACATGTCTATTGTCCCCCTCCCTAAAGCTGCCGTGGCCTAGTAGGGTGTCTTCTGATGAGGTTAGGAGAGATGGAGGACAGGAAATGAAGGGAAGTCTAGTCTTTCAGAGGGAGAGATCCAGCTGTACTGGGAGGCAGGAGCTTGGCATCAAGGGGGCCTGGGCTAGAGGCAGGAAGACCAGTTAGGAGGCTGTGGAAATCACCTGGGTAAGCAATGGTGTCCTGCCAGTAAGGACAGGTGTAGTGAGTGAGCAGGAGGGCAGGAGCTGTGCCCTCCCCACGGTGTGTATGGCAGCGATGGCCATGTGGAAATAGGGAGTATGAAACGGAAGCATGGAGGCTTCCTGAGACTAGCTCTTGAGCTGGCCACTGAGCTTCTGTGGTGAAAGTGCAGCATTACCTCTTTGAATATAACAGACACACAAACATATGTAGATGGCAAGTCTTGACTAAGGAGATTCTGTCTTCTTCTTTGTGAAATCTTTGATAAGATGAATATGCCCTTTTAATCCAAGGTCTGAAAAAGCAATTGAAATCCTCCCCATCGTTGTACTTAAAATTTGTTGTGGTTTCTTTTTGTCTAGGTGCCTAATTCAAGAATAAAGGTAAGAGTATTTATTTATTGATTGATTGATTGGTAGCTGGCTGGTATGGGTATCCAAACCCTTGACCTTGGTGTTATAACACCGTACTCTAACCAACTGAGCTAACTGGCCAGCTCCCCCTTGGATATTTCTTAATGGAAAATAAGATCATTCATAGCATACTATCTTATTTCTGAGCTCTTTGAAGTGAATATGTTTATGATTAGAAAGGTACCTTATTTTATTTATTTTCTTTGGCAGTTGGCTGGTACCGGGAACCAAACCTGTCATCTTCGTGTTTTGTTGCAACCAACTGAGCTAACTGGCCAGCTCCCCCTTGGATATTTCTTAATGGAAAATAAGATCATTCATAGCATACTATCTTATTTCTGAGCTCTTTGAAGTGAATATGTTTATGATTAGAAAGGTACCTTATTTTATTTATTTTCTTTGGCAGTTGGCTGGTACCGGGAACCAAACCTGTCATCTTCGTGTTTTGTTGCAACCAACTGAGCTAACTGGCCAGC